CTCCTCCTCCACCAAACAACGTGACAAAGATCCCGCCATAACCCCGCTCCCGCTCCTTCTCCCACTCGTCCCCCGTCTCCTCCTCCCTCTCTTTCTCCCGCTCCCCCTCTTGCTCCTCCTCCCACTCCTCCTGCTGCTGCTTCTCCCACTGCTTCTCCTGCTCTTCCCCCTTTCCTCCTCCCCATCCTCCCGCTCCTTTTCGCTCGCCATAGCCCCGCTCCCGCTCCTTCCCCGTCCCTTCTCCTTGTCCTCCTCCCGCTCCTCCTCCGTCCCTTCCCGTTTCCCGTCGTGCTCCTCCCGCTTATAACCCCCTCCCCGTTTCCCCTGCCGCTCCTCCTCCCGCTTCGCTCCCGAACGATCGTCTGCGCCCGCGCTTGCTGAGTGCATGCCACCCTCTCCAACCACATGCCACGGTCTACAACCCGCACGACTCGAACGAGAGCCGCTTCGTTCCCGACCTTTTCTGACCCGACCACTTCCTCCCACTTTTTTTTCCCGTGCCCGTTCTCCCCGACTGCATCCCTCTCCTTCTCCCGCTCCTCTTCGCTCGCCATAGCCCCGCTCCCGCTCCTTCCCCGTCCCTTCTCCCAACCCTCCTCCCGCTCCTCCTCCGCCCCTTCCCGTTTCCCATCGTGCTCCTAACCCCCTCCCCGTTTCCCCTGCCGCTCCTCCTCCCTCTCCTCCTCCCGCTTCGCTCCCGAACGATCGTCTGCGCCTGCGCTCACCCAGTGCATGCCACGGTCTACAACCCGCACGACTCGAACGGGAGCCGCTTCGTTCCCGGCCTTTTCGGACCCGACCACTTTCTCCCACTTTTTTTTTCCCCTGCCCGCTTTCCCCGACTGCATCCCCCTCCTTCTCCTGCTCCTCTTCGCTCGCCATAGCCCCGCTCCCGCTCCTTCCCCGTCCCTTATCCCAGTCCTCCTCCCGCTCCTCCTCTGCCCCTTCCCGTTTCCCGTGGTGCTCCTTACGCTCCTAACCCCCTCCCCGTTTCCCCTGCCGCTCCTCCTCCCTCTCCTCCTCCCGCTTCGCTCCCGAACGATCGCCTGCGCCCGCGCTCGCTGAGTGCATACCACCCTCTCCGACCCCATGCCACGGTCTACAACCCGCACGACTCGAACGGGAGCCGCTTCGTTCCCGGCCTTTTCCGACCCGACCACTTCCTCCTACTTTTTTTTCCTTTGCCCGCTCTCCCTGACTGCATCCCCCTCCTTCTCCCGCTTCTCTTCGCTCGCCATAGCCCCGCTCCCGCTCATTCCCCGTCCCTTCTCCCAGTCCTCCTCCCGCTCCTCCTCCGCCCCTTCCCGTTTCCCGTCGTGCTCCTCCCGCTCCTAACCCCCTCCCCGTTTCCCACGCCGCTCCTCCTCCCGCTCCTCTCGCCTGCGCCCGCGCTCGCTGAGTGCATACCACCCTCTCCGACCCCATGCCACGGTCTACAACCTGCACGACTCGAACGGGAGCCGCTTCGTTCCCGGCCTTTTCCGACCCGACCACTTTCTCCCGCTTTTTTTTTCCCCTGCCCGCTCTCCTCGACTGCATGCCACCGTCCACAACCCGCATGGCTCGAACGCGAGCCGCTCCGTTCCCGGCCTTTTCCGGCGCGAGGCGTTTCGCTATGTGCTTTTCGGTCGCGCCTTTTGCTATGCGCTTTTCGACGCTGCCACTTCCCAACACCGCCGCGCCGTCGGTTCCCCCTTGCCCACTGCCCGAGAGCAGTCCCGCGCGGCGGCACCTGGTTTCTGTTGGGCCCCACGCGAGGACCGCTATTTCCTTTAGTAGTATAGACGTGAGTGTGAGAGAGAGAAAGAAATAGAGAGAGAGGGAGGGGGGGCCTACCAGAGAGAGAGAGAGAGGGGGGGG